TCAATTTTTTTTTTACAAATTTAACATTACTGTGTTCATTAACTCTCACTTTTCTTTAGTCTTTTATTATTAGGAGGTTACTATTGTTTTGTTTATTTATTTTATATATATAAATATTATGTGTGCATATATCTAAGAGCACCCATGGGTGCATTGCCTCAGAGGACAGAAGAAGGCATTGATCCCCTGGAACTGGAATTATGGATGGTTGTTAGCTTTCATGTGATTCCTGGGAATGGAATTTGTGTCTTCTTCAAGAGCAGGCTGTACTTTTCTTTAGTCTTTTATTATTAGGAGGTTACTATTGTTTTGTTTATTTATTTTATATATATAAATATTATGTGTGCATATATCTAAGAGCACCCATGGGTGCATTGCCTCAGAGGACAGAAGAAGGCATTGATCCCCTGGAACTGGAATTATGGATGGTTGTTAGCTTTCATGTGATTCCTGGGAATGGAATTTGTGTCTTCTTCAAGAGCAGGCTGTACTTTTAAACTTTGAGCCATCTCTCCAGGCTCTGTTAGGTTTCCTTTGATGTATAATAATATCTGAGTGAAATTCACAGTCTATGATTTGTGAGAAAAAAAGCTCATTTCAGCAGTAAGTACATTTACTTATTTTTAGCTAGAAATTACTAAGGACTACTCAATGGAAAAAATTCAGGAAATTTTATAGTTATTCTATAGATCTAAACATATTTTTATATCTAGTGACAAAAGGAGAACTGAGTTGTTAATTAATCAGAAATACATACAGATAAAATATGAATGATAAGTCTTTGTTTTCTCTATGCTTTGTACTTGGTAAAGTAACTTTAGGTTTATATCAGAAGTTTGCCTTCATGATAAACATGTTTATTCGACAATAAAATAAAAGCACATCACAAACACCCAAGTATTGCCAGTATTTGAAGGGGAGTTACTAGAATCATCTCTCCCTATGTCATAGTAGCTTCCCCTTGAGTTTACTTAAATTTCTTTCCCCTTACCCAATCAGAAGGACGTGTTAATCTGATGTATTAGAAACAAAGTTCCTGTGGCACAGTTTCCAATGCACTGGGTCCACTTCAGTGTTAGGATTTATCTTCACCCTTTCTGTTATGTTTTCCTACATTTTCTTCCATCATTGCCAAACAGTTTATTCCTTCTTTAATTATATTTTACCTGCGGGGGGCTTGTATTTTTGATTGGTGTACTTTGGCCTAGTTTTCTCTTAATAATACCCTGAATACTTCACTGAAATGTCCTATTTTAAAATTCTATAACTCAGGTAAGAATGCAAAATCAGTTTGATGATATTTTGCAGGTTCCAGACCCTGGGTACCATTATTGTGCAAGTATAACCACTAATTCCCATTTGTTTAATTTTTAATAACATCTATATTTTTATAGTTTCTGCAGCAATTTTGGAAGGAAATGGAGGACATGGCAGTGCAGAATTGATCATTTCTGTGTACCTATTTGTAATACCATTTTAGCACCAGCTTCTTAAAGTACACACTATTATCTTTCTCCTTCCCTACCTGCCTCTCTCCCTCCCTCCCTTCCTTTCCCTCTCTCTGTTTCTGTCTCTTTCTCTCATTCCCCTAATTTAGCATTTTTCCTTTTTTTGAGACAGTAAATCAATCGGTATCTCAGGCTAATTTAAACTCACTCTGGAGACTGGGATGGTCTCAAATTCGTGGCAGTACCCACATCTCAGCCTCCCAAGCACTGGGATGGCAGGCCTGTACAGCCGTGGTTGTTTCTAAATATCAGTCATCTTTCTGCTTGCAATGATAATTACAAATTTATTAATCAGAATCAGGTTCTCTAATAATCTATCTTTTGCCATATTATATTTTTATCAAAATAATTTGTGAGATGAATAAGAGATATACAAATATTTTGCTTTTCCGATCAGAATTTTCCATATCCAAATCCATATGGAGTTCAATAGACTTGTACCATAATTTTCCATCCAGTGGACATATTGTCTCACCTTTTGTGGAATCTGTGCAAGGGCTGATGCCACCACATTGGACTTTTCTTCTGTCATGTTACTGATCATTGACCCCAGAGAAAATACCACAACACCATGTTCTCCAGAGCTCTGCACAAAGTCTTCCATTTCCTGTGAAGTAAGAGTGTGTGTCAGCCTGGCATGGTGGTACACACCTTTAGTCCCAGCACTTTGGAGGCAGAGGCAACTAGATCTGTGTGATTTCAAGACCAGCCAGGGCTACATAGTGAGTTCCAGGTCAGCTGGGGCTACAGGGAGACCCTGTTTCAAAAAGATTAAAAAAAAAAGTGTGTGTCATCACAAATGGGGAGCATCACAGTATCATTAGGGGAATGTTTTTAGAAGTATTTGCCACTATGTTGTAAAATATAGAAGTAATGAAAGAAAATTTCTGGACACAAATGACCTATGGAATGAGAGCCGATAGGATATAAAAGCTATTCATTATGTACACACACACATACACACACACACACACACACACACACACACACACACACACACACACACACGTCAGTGGTGAACAATAAGATGTAACCAATGGTTGTGGAAGAGCAAAAATCTCTGCCACAATTTTTTTCATTGATGAATTTTACAGGGCTTTAAGAAAGATCGAATATCAATGCTACTTCAGTTGCTCCATAAGTGAAAAGAGAATACTTGAAAAGCCATTTTACAAATCTATTATTTTTCTGTGACTAAAGTCTAGTAAGAGGGGCTGGGGAGTTGGCTCAGTGGCTAAAAGCACTGGCTATTCTTGTATAAGACCAGGGTTCAATTCCAAACACTGACATGGTGGCTAGCAACCATCCGTAACTCCAGATCCAGTAGATCCGATGACATCTTCTGACCTCCATGGGCATTAAATGACACAGGTGCACTTACACACATTCAGGTAATACACTTATACATGTAAAATATATTATCAGCCAGGGGCTCCTCCCAACCCCATGGGACCCCTGAGGAACAAATCCTCTAACGACCTCAAGAGTAAAAACAAATCAGTTTATCTGGTCCAATTGTATGTCCTTAAACACCCAAAAGGGAAGTATAACCAAAGATTAAAGGGGCCAACATAATATCATAAGAGCATACATATACATAACTAAAAGTTACTCGACAAACAACAAAGCCAGACAGGCGATACCTTCAGTCGAGTTGTTGGCTAGGATAGATAAAGGCTCTTCCAGACAGTAACCCAACATACTACTGGAAAAATGAACAGAAGAACCCAAATCTATCCAAAGGAATACTGACAATGGATTGCCATAGATGAGGAACAGCTGACCCTCCTGGAACAGGGACCTCTGGCTGACGAGATTTACCAGAAGGGCAGACAGGGGGGAATGGATGAGGGTGCTGATAATGCAGTGGACAGTGACAGGGATGGCAGAGTATGGAGCCTCTAGTGGGAGA